GATGGGGGTTCTCTCTGGGTCTCCTGGCAGGTGTGGGGTCCTGGTGGGGTGTAGGGTTGGCTGAAGGGTCCCCCATGGGCAAGGGGCTCTCTGTGGGGTGGTGCAGGGCTGGATGAGGTGGGTAGGGGCAGGCTGATGGGGAGCTTGGGGTTGTGTCCCCCCACTGAGGCTGGTGTCCATCTCCCACGGCTCTGTGCTCCAGAACAGGCTGGTGGATCGGTGTGAGCGGCTCCAGCTGCAGAGCGCGGCCATCGCCCGGCACCTGGATGAGGTGCTGCCTGCCAAGGACCAGGGAGTCCTGGTGAGTCCCTGCCCCTCTCCAGGCACCGCAGGGAGCTGGGCCTGCTGTTCCCTGCTCTGCATTCCTGACAGAGATGCTGAGCTCTCAGGGGGTTCATGGGTGTGCAGGGATTATCCTCTCCTACCCCATGGCTGTGGAAGGGTGTGCCTGTGATTGCTGCTCCATCTGCCTCAAAAATATGCATGGACAGTAAATTTCTTGGGTGTTGGTGTACAGCAATCAAAACAACCCACTAGGATCAGTGTCTTAGCAGTTGAGCTCTCAGGGGGTGCATGGGTGTGCAGGGATTATCCTCTCCTACCCCATGGCTGTGGAAGTGGAGTGCCAGGGTGTGCCTGTGATTGCTGCTCCATCTGCCTCAAAAATATGCATGGACAGTAAATTTCTTGGGTGTTGGTGTACAGCAATCAAAACAACCCACTAGGATCAGTGTCTTAGCAGTTCCTGGTTTTATCTGTTCCTTGCTGTCACCAAGGATGAGGACAAAGAATTGTTATAGAATCACAGGATGGTTTGTTTCGGAAGGGGCCTTAAGGCTCATTTCATTCCACCCCCTGCCATGGGCTGAGACACCTTCCACTAGCCCAGGTTGCTCCAAGCCTTGTCCAACCTGGCCTGGAACACTCCCAGGGATGGATGGAGTATCCACAGCGCCTGTGGGCAACCTGTGCCAGTGCCTCAGCACCTCACAGGGAAGAATTTCTTCCCAATATCCCATCTCAGCGTGCTCTCTGTCAGTGGGAAGCCATTCCCCCTTGTTCTGTCACTCCAGACCCTTGTCCAAAGTCTCTCTTGGAGCCCCTTTAGGCACTGGAAGAGGCTCTAAGGTCTCTCTGGAGCTTTCTCTTCTCCAGGCTGAACACCCCCAGCTCTCTCAGCCTGTCCTCATGGTGTTTCTCACCAATAGTGAATCCATGAAGGTCTGAGGGATGGGGCTCTGGTTCCTCACAGGTTGTCACTTAGCTATTAGGTTTAGTCCAGGAGTCCCCTGGTTTGGGACTGGTTGACCCACTTACCTTGGCTTGTATCATGACAGTTGCTGTGGCCTGGGCTCAGTTAACAGCTGAGCCCAAAGACTGCCAGCAGAAGCAGTTGGGGCTCTTGTTGGAGCTGAAGCCAAGCTGATGTTCCTCCTCTGTCTCTGCCTGTAGAACTCAGCCAATGCGGCGCGGGAGCTGGTGATCCAGCGACTCATCTTCGTGGGGAAAGCCTGTGAGAATGAGGAGCAGAGGCTGCTGGAGAAGGTGCATGCAGAGGAGGAACGAGCACGCCAGAGCATCCTGACCCAGCAGGCACACTGGACGGAGGCTCTGCAGAAGTTGGCTGCTCTCCGCACCTACCTGGTGGACATGATCACCAGCCTGGATGACCAGGGCCTGGTGGTGAGTACTGACTGCTCTGTGTGCTGAGGGACAGGGCAGTAGGCTCACAGGTGACCTGGACTTTCTATCATGGATGTTATGGGACAGGTCAGTCAGCCCAGAGGTGACCTGGATTTTATGTTATGGGACTTACAGCAAAGAGGAAGAGTTGGACACAACCTACATTTGCAGGCCTAGCTTGGGGCACCTCCTTGACCTGATCCTGACAAGCCCCTCTAGTGTCTCAGTGTTTCCTAGAGCATCTGCTCTGCCTGATTCTGAGGTCCAGAACCACCCAGGGTTCAGGTCTCCAAGCTCTTGGCTTGCAGCTGCCAGCTCTGAGGTGCTCATAGGCCAGACAGCCAGGACTGCTGCTTTTACAGCAGTTAATTGTGGCACCAGTTTTTGAGTGTTATATCTAGTTTTAATCAAAACCAGCCCTTGGGAACACCTGCAGCTCTTCTGCAAAGTGCCCCCTGTTGTCTGGCACAGCTCTGGTTGGTGTATTTGCTGTACGAAGCAGTTTGTGCTTCCCCTTGCTCAGTTCCTTCTCTGGCTGTTAAATCACCTCAGTTTACCCAAGTGATTCCTCTGGTTTTAGATGTGGACAGGTTGGCCTTGTACCACCTTGTTCAGCCTCTGCTTCCCACGTGTAATTTTCTTTGGAAAACAGCCCCAGTCCCATGGAGAGGAGGCAGATGTCCCTTTGGTGGGGAAGGCAGTTTCTGTCCTGCCCCAGCACCATAACGTGCTGGGCTGTGGCTGCACTGTAGAGAGTAGAGGTTGGAATGCAAGATCCATCAGCTGCCTGTGGCAGAGAACAGCCAGACCCTGTTTCTCCTGTTTCTCCTTTTGCCCTGTAGTGGAGGGGAATTAGAGATCACGTGTTCTCCTCCTTGGATTGTTGGTGTTGGTACTTCTGTCTGTCAGGAATTGACACATGCCATTCCACAGCACAGCCAAAGGCACACAGAGTGCTCTGCAGCTCAGGTTTGAGCAGGGATCACATATTTTCCTGCCAGTTGAGAATGCTCCAGGGCCAGCAGGTCCAGAAACAAGTGGGACTGACCATGAGTTTCCCTGACCCTTGGCTTAGTTCCCATGCAGCCTCACCCCTTGCTGAAAGCCCTGGGGTTGTTTTCTGGAGGCACGGGCTGTTCCTGCAGCATTTCCTGATGGGGTGGGGGCAGAGGGAGGGCAGCAGACAGTGCCCTAACTAGATGTGAAGATGTATCACCCTCAGTCATTCCCACTCCTTTTCCGAGCTGGGGAATGGGAAGTGCTGCAGCTGAAGAAAATGGATGTGGGATGCCCCTCTGCTCGCCAGGGCTGGTGTTGGGGTGAGGGGTGGTTTCTCTGGGTCAGGCAGGAGCACAGTGCTCCCTGGGCCCTGGGTTTGCTGTGCATTTGGGATTTCAGCTGTGATGACTCTTTCTCTCCTTGTCCCCAGCGTGCTGAACAAGAGATCTTCGAGAGGTCAGTACCTGGCTGCTCCTGCTCCTTCCCCTGCCCCTGCTCCAAGCTTGCCTGCATCCCCACGGCTCCTGTGCAGTGTGCTCAGACACCCTGGGACACCTCTTTCCTCCCTCATAGTTTCATAGTATGTTAAGGGGTTGGAATGGAATTTAGAGATCATCCAGCCCCAACCCCTGCCCTGGGCAGGGACACCTCCCACCAGAGCAGGTTGCTCAAGGCTTTAGCCAACCTGGCTGTGAACACTGCCAGGGTTGGGGCAGCCACAGCCTCCCTGGGTAACCTGGGACAGTGTCTCACCACCCTCACTGGGAAAGACTTCTGCCTAAGATCTTATATAAATTTCCCCTTTCAATTTCTCCCCATTACTCCTTCTCCTCTCACTACAGCTCCTAACCAGGAGTCCCTCTCCAGATTCCTTGTGGGTCCTTCAGATAGTGGCAGGTTGCTCCTGCTGCTTTTGCTGGGGACAATGACACAGTATGGAGATGCCAGTGTGGCCTCTTGTCTCTGCTCTACGTGCTGTGAATCACAGAGCAGCCTGGCACCTGGAGATGCTCCATGTGCATTGCCAGATCAGTGGCTGTTGCTTACAGGAGACCTTCTCCAGCTCCTTAGAAAACTCCTTGTGGCTCACTGGGAGATGGAGCAGGTCTGTCCCAAGCTGTTAGCAGGAGGTGGGATGCTGTGTGCCAGGGGGTGGATGACACAGCATCCCCCCAGCTCTGCACGGGCAGGGTGCACAGAGGGGAGAGCCATGCACAGTGTCAGTGTCCCTGACAGCCCCACGGGTGACACTGGGCTGCCCTTCCCTCAGGAGGCACCTGAGGTGGCTGTGTTTTCCCAGCCCTTTGTTTCCATGGCTGTGGGAGGGTGCTGGCCCTGCTGCACTCTGCTGCCCAGAGTGTTTGCAGGGCTATTCGTGCCTGGAGCCTGGAGAGAGTAAGGAATGTGCCACAGCAGGTTACCAGCAGCTGTGCCACAGCATTTCCTCACAACCAGGAGTCCCTGTGGGTGCTGCAGGGACCCAGCAAACCCTCTGTGCCTTGCTGTGTGTCCTGGCTTGCTCTGCCACTGCATTCCCTGTGACACTGTCATAAAAAGGGAAATCTGATTCTCCCACTGCTCATTGTGCTCTCCTTGTGCCTCGATGGCTGCTCTCAGACACCTTTATTTACCCTGTGTCTGCTGGGTGAGGAGCTGCTGGCTCAGGCCTCTGGACTGTGTTTTATAACACTGCAGTCCTTTCACAAGGGACTGTAAGCAAAGCCAACTGAAAGTAGCAGTTAGGGTGAGAGCTGGCCTGGAAACCCCCACTGTGGTCTCTCTGCAGGCAGAGCTCCTCTTCAACCTCTGTGGTCTTCATAAAAAAACTCCCAGCTCATTGTATTTTGAATTAACTCTTGTTTTCCTTTGCCAGGACAGAGGTGGCAGAAGGAATCTTAGAGCCACAGGAGTCCCAGAAGTTAAACTTTAATCAGACCTGTGTTCAGAGTCCACTGCTGCATCGACTCTGGGCCACTGCTGTGCTCTGCTGCCTCACAGGTCAGTGTTTCGCTCACATCT